GGGGGGGGGGGGGGGGGGGGGGCGTACTCTTATGTTTTGCATGCCTTAGCGGTTAGACCATTGACCACGCGTCCTCGAGAGGACGGAGCATTGTTCCCACAGGACCGATCACCGATGGCCAATCGTTCCTTCCTACTTTACCAAAGGTGGCTCAAAAATGTCTTCCCTAGTCTGTCTATCCTAACGATATCCCTTCCCGCCTTTTCAAACCACTTCCTACTCCCCAGTACAGCTACCGTCCTCTCCTCTCTATTCCATGCCTCAAACATCTCCCTGTACGTCCCTTGTATTTTTCCCAGCTCGGTCATGTACACTTCCCTCTCCTCTTCGTACCTCGGATATTCCGCGACTACATGAACACGGTCTTCGCTTTCGAAGCCGCAATCACATTTGAACTTGTCGTCTTCGTCGTCTACCGTCCTATGTCTTCGTCGACGTTCTCGAAGGCCTGTGTCCCCGGTCCTGAATTTGACCTTAAGCTTTGTCCCTGCATCCATTGGTCCATGTAGGTAATCCTTGAACCCTATTCCTTCTTTCAACATTCCGTACACTTCTAGACCCTCCTTATCCTCGGTTTCTTTCCTTAGATTCTGTTTTTTTCTCTCGGCACAAGCAACAGATATCTTCTCCTTGAACCCCTGTAGACCCTCCGTTTCCGGAATTTCATCTTTGTCGATTTCGAACCCCTTCCATACGTCCTCTACAACCTTGACCCATTCTGTGGGTTGTCTACCCCTCTTTTTTGTTTGCCCACTTCGCCTCCCATACTATTCTCGGCAACCTCTCCTCTCCCATCCCGCACATGCGATACTGCCATGTCAGCTTCCTTGCGTCTCTTCCCGACCGTAGGGATTGGATCCCCAATTCTGCCCTTACGGCTGCATTACTTGTGCGCTTGGAGCATCCTAGGATGATTTTCGCTGCTTTCATCTGCGCCGCCTCGAGTTCTTTCACTACCTTCTTATTTCCTTCCCATACTTCTCCGGCGTACTCTAGCGGCGGTACGATTACGCTCTTCAAAACCGCCAATTTGATGCGTGTATCGAGGTGCCGGTTTGCAAGTATTGAGTGCAGCTTCCCTGCTCGTGCTTTGCCCTTTTCCGCTACCTTGGACACGTGTGTATTCCACGAGCAGTCGTTTGCGATCTCTACTCCGAGGTATGTGTACTGGTCCATTACTGCAATCTCCTCGATCCCCACTTCCATCTATGTTCTACTGGTTCCTCCCTGTCCTCGTTGCATACCGTGACGGCACTCTTCTTAACGTTGGCAGACAATCTCCATTTATCAGTAAACTTCTTCGCCGCGTCAATTTGTAGTTGCAGTCCCTCAGGGGTGTCCGACATACCAACAAAATCATCCGCAAACAGCATTCCTGACACCGAAGTTTCCGTGTCCCCTACTTTTACTCCCTTCCGGACTGCCTCTACGACTTCCAACAGATCGTTGATGAACACCTGGAACAATGTTGGGGACAGCGTGCAACCTTGTGGGACACCCTGCTCAATGTCGAAGAAACACCGGGGGGGGGGGAGGGGATAAAACTTTATCATCCCCGTTCTTTATTTACCTGAAGCCGCGCTTATCCTACCCGAGCATCATGGCAAAAACAATCCCCAAGAAAATGAACATCTAACCACCTAACCTAGAAACCGATCTTATATTTGGACCATCCCAACCGATCTTAGATTTCGGCCCAGAGGGAGTTTACATACATAGGTCCGGACGATCAACAACAGCAATTAATAGATCCAGCAAGTTGTCAAGAGACACTGACACCTGCGACGACGTGTTTCCTGTGAAGGCAAAATGGATATTATTGCAACACACGATCGAACGACATAATAACGGAGGGTTGAGGGTTTCTCCCGGATATTTTTGTCGTTGACCCAGTAGATAGAAGAAACTACGGGGGAGATGCTGTATGTCTACTACCACGTAGTTAAGTAGTTACTGATATTCGTCGGCTTGCTTTCAACATCAAGACTACAACATCATCATCATCAGCTGCATGCAGTCTTTTTGTGGTCAGCACCTACCTGCTGCTGGCATCACTGATCAATATTCAGTGTATAGACTCGAAGATATGCCCAGTACCCGGCCGGTTTCCCTCCACTCACTGCAAAGACTAGAACACATCCCGTTCGACTCTGGTTATATATCTCGAACGGTAGTCTCTGCGTTGTTGTATCATAGACGACGCGATTCTGTCCTGGGGGCTTCGCAGAAGACAGTCTACAAAAGACTCCCCCCCCTTTACAAAAAGTCATAAGTTTTGTTGGTTACTTGCTCCCGTCACGCGCACGCGGCCTAGGAAATACCGTTAAGACTCAATGGGCAAACACAAGACCTGCAACAGGAAGCAAAAAACTGTGCTTGGATACGTGTGTGTGTGTGAGATGCAGAGATGGAAAGCCACAGAGCTCCGTCACATGAGCGACTGATGGCACACCTGAGACAGACGCTATAATACGTAGAGAGAGAGAGGAAAGGTCCCCGACATGTACACCCAGCATCCAGCACCCCCGCGATCACTGGAGGCCGCTGGTAAGCCTTTGCTCGGTTGTTCGGCTCTCAGTCCCTTTACTTGAACGCGCAGCGTGCCCCTTTCCCTCTTTCCCGAAATCAATGGTTTTCAGTGCTGTTGAAGGTCTTGTCGTTTGAAAGAAAGAAAAGAGGACTAAAATAATTAGACTAGAAGGGGATCAAGGAGAATTGATTGTTGGCGTGTGCGCCCGCTCAAACGCTGCAACTGCTGCATTTTGATACCCCGTATGATATGTATACGATAAAGACTCAAAACGTACTTGCCATGACTGCTGTGCTTGAGTCTGTGTACAGCGGAGACATCAAGCCCACAATTCAGCATGATTCCACCGCAACAGAGTGTTAAAAGAATGCTCCGAAATTTATCACCGGGAAGAGTCGCAAGACGTGTTCCCGTGATTGCACTTCAGGTGCGCCCCGGGTGGGCGATTCCGGCAGGCGTTGGTGTAGCAAAAGGCGTCGAGTTGCAGGGGGGAGAAGCTGTCGCTCGTCTCGTCTCCCGTCAGCCCGGGCGATAACGTGCCGTCTTGGTAGCGGCCCTGGTACTCCCACGACCATACCGAGGTGTTGCCGAGACCGCGACGACAGAGATCTCGGCGAGGCCGAGGTGACCTGACCACATGAGATGTGCGTACTCATCCTCGAACGGGCATCCCCCCCCAAAAAAGACCTGTCTCTCCCCCAACACCGTGGGCCTAGTTTTGTTCGTGTCGGCGCAGACCAAATGGGTGGTTTTTGACGCATAGACTATATAGAGACCAACACCAATCGGTCGAATGGAGGCATGGTGGTATGTTTGGCTGGCAAATCTGATGTGTTTCAGCTTCACAGTGCCTGTCATACACCATCTGTTTTTTTTTTTCCCGCGAGAGTTTGGCGACCGCAAAGTCGCCATTCAGAGTCTGTCTCTCACAGTCGATTTTTTTTTTTGGCGACAGTTTGACTGGCAACCAATGGTTTGTTGTTTCATGTCTAACAGGCATCCCGCCCCCAAAAGACCTGTCTCTCCCCCAACACCGTGGGGGCCCCAACCCCAAGCCCCAAACGACATCTGGGACACGATGCTACAGCAATATTACAGCAGTAGCACATCGATCGCCACGAGGAGTACAGCAATAGGTGGTGGTGTTGTGTCGTCTTGTCTGGTACATACAGCAGGCACTTGAATCCAAGGCTGGTTGGACGTTATATTCCTCCGCGGCTGGTTTCGAAACGAGAACCAACCGTCTTGTCGCAACCACACCAACGGACGCACCCATTTTTCCTTTCACTGTATCGTTCACCTAGCGTCGAGTGGGATTTGTCGGATACCGCTCTTCTTTTCTGGGTTTTCAAGTCTCCTCAACATCAATTGCTATCCAGTTGAGAACAACTTCGTTGAAATGTCTAATTCGGTGCAACAAGTCGTTTCCGAGGTCTACTCTTGATTCGGCATTTCCGAGGTGTATCGCCTGATTCAAAATCCAAAGGGTTACTTGTAGGCTGTCTACATGCAAGTGGTTGGGTAGATGGCGCTTCGATCGATCCATCGTGTGCTTCGTGTCGCAAATCGTCGTTGCCTCCCCTGATAACACCATTCGCAAGCACACGCAACACATAACAGTACCGGCGGATTGTTCGGTATGTCGCTTGTTGCAGTTCTCCCATACGAGAAGAAATACAAGACGATCCATGGCAAGGAAATGGCCTACATGGAGCACGGCACCGGCGATCCGATCGTGTTTCTGCATGGCGTCCCGACGTCGTCCTACCTGTGGCGTAACATCATGCCAGCTTTCGAGGGTAAGGGGCGCCTGGTTGCTCCTGATCTCATCGGCATGGGTGACTCGGAAAAGATCGACAACTCGGGACCGAACAGCTACACCATCCCCGAACATGCGAGTTATCTGTTCGCGCTTTTAGAGGCGCTTGGCGTGACAGAAAAGGTAACGCTTGTGATCCACGACTGGGGGTCCGGGCTAGGCTTCCACTGGGCGGAGACGCACAGAGACGCGGTGAAAGGCATTGCGTTCATGGAAGGTGGGCTGAATTGTGACGTCCAGGGAATTGTACGGCAGAAGACGATGATGCGCGCACTTCTCCTGACTGCCGTCCCGAACAACATGATCGCCGTGCGCCTTGCCTTCCTCGCTTCCCTCCCTCGTAGCATGCCTACTCATGCTCTCGAAAGAAATGCACCGGCCTGGTGGCACCCACGGGGATGGGCGTGAGGTTGCGTCGATACTGTCGAATGCGCCAGTCACTCGGTGAACAGGAAAAAAGGCGCACTGTGGTTTTTTTATTCGCGGTAACCGAATGATGGTGAAGTTGGATCATGTTCGTGCGGGGTGGAGAACTTTAACTCCACTCACGGGGGATGATCGTACCACACAGTGTTCATGTGGTGAGGCACCACGGAAAAGTGTATCCCATGGCTGTCTCCGGAAGTAGAGACCGTTGCAGGCTTGTCATCCATACAAAAACACACCTTTTCAGGTCTACGCAAAACATTATTGCGGAATGCACCTCACCCTTCATGCGACTCGCCGAACACGTATCGGCGCTTCGCGCCTGGTGAATGCGATGCTGGTCCAGCGACACGCCGATGTTCTCCGTCCGTGCTTTGTTGGGATACGGAGTATAGGCCGAACGACTACGGCATGCGTGATAAGAATGTACTAACTCTGGTGGCAGTTGTGGTGCCGGTTGTGTCTGCTTGCATTGCGGTCCTATGTGAGAGGCGCATGGCACATTGTTGTACGTAAACTCACCCCCATTTGAAATTTCGTCCAACCGCTCTCTTGGGTGAGATGACATAACAATTCCACGAAGGAATTTGGGCATTAGCCCAGCCCACCCTCGCTTAGCTTTTGGAGGCCACAGTTTGCCGGCGCTGAATGGCAAATTAAGTAACCTTGCGGGGGACTGACATGGAGCTTTTGGCACGCATGAAGCCTGCACACACGGTGGCTGTGTGCTGATTCTGTCCACCCCCTGTCATTGATCGACCGTCAGGTATTGTCACTACTTTCCCGACATGGGACCACTTCAACAAGGAACTCCACGGCCCTATCAAGCAGCTTCGAGGACCCGAAGGCGAGAAGATGGCGCTGGAGGACAACTTCTTCATCGAAAAGCTTCTACCGGGGGCCATCCTTCGTGACCTCTCGGAAGAAGAGCACGCAGCCTACCGCAAGCCTTTCCTCGAGGCAGGCGAAGCGCGCAGGCCCACCCTTGCGGGGCCTCGCTCACTTCCCATCGAAGGAGACCCTGCCGACTCTGTGGCTATCATCGAGGCCTATGGTGCCTGGCTTGCCGCATCCCCGGTCCCCAAGCTTTTCATAAACGCAGAGCCGGGAGCTTTCTTGGTGGGCCACGCGCGTGACGTCTGCCGCGGCTGGCCCAATGTTACGGAGGTTACGGTGGCTGGATCCCACTTTATCCAGGAGGACTCCCCGGCCGAGATCGTTGCAGCCATCACCAACTGGCTGCCTACCATTGAGATCTAAGGATTGCACGACCTTTGTTGAGAATCTGACAACAAACGTGTTTGGGTGCGTTCCTCTCGATGGTGTTTAGTGTGTGGGCGGGGTCCAGCCGTTCGCAGACGTGTGTGTAGGTTTTCCCTGTTCTTTGCCCCACCCGTTTCCCGCCAAGAGAGTGTTTCGCTTCTGTCCAGTTGTTGTTCGTGGTTTCACGGCCGAGTTTTTGTTCGCGCAATGTATACTTTTTGCACGGATACGTCTGTTGGATATCCATTTCAGAGGTCACAAAGGCGATCAGGACCACAGGGGAGAGGTAAGAGTCCGTACACACGACGAGGTTCACGGCCTACGATCGGAGTACCGAGCGGACGGCGGTGCCGTCGCTCTGACCAAAGAGAACCACCAACAACCTGCATCGGATATCTGTGCTGGGACGAAGTCGCGTCATCTCCTTTCGAAGAGCAATTAAAACGGGGGGGGGCGGGTTAGCAGCACGACGGAAATTTCAGGGATGTGTCCGACTGGTACTCGTGCCATCACCTCCATCATCATCAGTCCGGAGCATATCTCTCTATCCGTTCAGCCATCTCCGTCCTACTCTCTTCGGCTGCAGTCGTGCTTTCTATCTTTCGACGTTTCCCCCCCTGTGTCCCCTTCCCCCGCTGCTCTGCTGCCGTCCTTTTGGTCTTCTGTACGGTGTTTTTCTTGTTCCGTTCCTCCGGGCATGGTCTGCTTTGCTTCTCTTGCTCCTTGTGCGTTTGACCAATAACTTGTCCGCTGCCTCTATCACCCCGTTGTACCACGGCACCCCCTTCTCAACCTTCGCTGGGATAGGCCAGCAGCCACGCGGTTTTCCGAACGTCCTCAGGTCGTCATCCGTGGATTCGGCATTGACACCAAACTCTACAAGGTCGTCCTTCAAGCATAACACCCTATTGTTTTCCGGGCGCCCGTTGCCTGGGTCCTACCCCCAACACGATATCTCCGAACACGCATCGCCTCGGGAGTCGCCCGTCCGGTTGTATGGCCAATGCTCCAGCAAACGGTAGTCGCCGTAGTCGGACAGTAGCCCCCACGTTTTGGCATCCGACGTATTGAGGGTTTACATGAGAGCTGCCGATATTGGCCCCACGTGCGGCGGTAACCAATAAACCGTGGCAGAAGTCGGTAGTGTGTACTCGTCAGCAGGTCGTAGTGATGCTTGCAGCGCGGGGCCCACGTCATGTATGTATCGGTACAGCAGGGTCTCCATCGCTCCCGCTTGTAGTCTACCGTATCAACCAGGGTCGTAGAACAACAACTGACGCTGCCGTACCCGTGCCATTCGGAGGGATCAGGAAGCCCCCCCCAGGCCACGCGAGTGCGTGTAGCATGCGAGAGAGCGGGCTTCGTTGTCTTGAATGCCCAACCAACCGAGTGGTAAAACTGAGCAGCGGGTACCAAACATGGGGATGCTGGGATCCTACATCAGCCACGGCTCTCGCCCGACTCGTTTACGACGCACGCCTGATGTAGCGCTACAAGAAGACGCGTAAACAAAGGAAACATGGCCTCCACAGATCTGCTGCTACCTCTATGCTTCACTTCCTCTGAGATCTCCAACACGTCGAATCATCGAGATCTGATCCCGCGTGCCAACCACAATCCTGACACCTCTCATGTACACACGCGTGGCCAGACACCTCTCGCATCCCTGGCACTTGCCTTCACCCCTGAGGGGGGTTGATGCGAAAACAGTCTCGTCACCAGTGGAGGCCAGAGAGTTCGAGCCTGCCGCGTGATGAAGTTGTTGTGAGCTGTGATCGTTTGGTGTGAGTAGGGAGAGCCAAGGGCGGGCTTGACCGATAAGACCGAAAAAGTAATTCTTGATGCGGCATTCTGCGGAGATGCGGCGCAACTGATTCGGCCAAATTCACTCCAGCCAATCAGATCACCGCCACAGAGGTTGTGGCATTTCTTGCACGTTGTGCCTGCCTCCACGCCTCCGCCATACGCACCGATAGCACTAACTCACGGCCGCTCTTTCTCCGGAGGGTGCGCGAGCTGTCAAAGCCAGAGCGTAGCCGAAACCATTGCCTGCTGTCGTTATTCTGACGCAAACGATTGTTCTTCTCGCAGCACATTGCATTGAACCAATTCATGACTTCTGACATCTCCAGACAGAACACACGCCACATTTCTTGCGCAACCTTCGTTCCGTACTTGATAAGCGAGGAAAGCAACAGGACGCTATAGGTTTTAGCGTGGGCGTTGTCG